ACATGGTAACACGAGCCTTTATCTACACAGTCACTTTACTGTGACACCTGTTTTGCTGTCGATTTGCTTTACATCACATTAAGTTGACTTGGTTACTGCTGTACTTCCAGCTAGGATCAAAAAGTACCCATATATCCCTGTGTAGATGTGAGAACTTTCTTCTCATTGAGATGACAATCTTATGGGGAGAGGGAGAGGGAGAGGGAGAGGGAGAGGGAGAGGGAGAGGGAGGGAGAAAGAGAGAATGGTAGGAAGAGGGAGAAGAATGAAAGAGAAGAGAGAATCAAGAAAGGAAGAAAGAGAATTATCTACTGACTTCAAGGAAGAATTATCTAAGAAAGTCATCACAGATACCATTTTGTTCAACCATGAAATGTTAGAAAATTGTCATTAAAATGTAACCACTGTATGTTTAGTAAAAAGCAAATAATACTATATTAGTATGGTAGGAAACAGAAATGAGGGAGGAGTGAGTCATGGGTCCTCAGTGACCATAGAGAAAAGTCGGCAGTAGAAAATAGAAGGGATATCAAGAAACTAAAATTTGAGCCTGTATTAAAAGTACAGTGTTAAAAGCCAGAAGAAAGAATGAGGAGGCAGAGTTCATATACAGCAAAGCTTTGAGAACAGGAGGGCTGGAGGCTTACAGTGTACTTAATGTTTAAAATTAAAGTTTAATATTGTCCTTGGTTTAACTGAGTCTGAGCATTCCCCAAATGCCATGTGTTAAAAGCTTCACTCCCAGCCTGTGACGCTGCTTAGGATGGCAGGACCTGCATAAAGTGAGGCCTCATAAAAACAAGCTAGTCTGCTGGGCACATGACTGTGAAGGAGAGGGTATTGGGACTGATGCCTGTCCAGTCTCTCTTTCTGCTTCCTTCACCACAAGGTGACTAGCCTACCACACCATAGCCTCCCACTATGCTGCACTATTTTGGGAAAAAATAAAATAAAAATAAAAAAATCAAGTGACCACGAACTGAAACTTATGCAACTGAGCTGGTTCCCTTTAGGTGACTTGTCAGAGTGATAGAAAATAAGCAGACATTCGATCCAAAACCAAACAAAACAATACATACAGTTCTGTTGTTTGTGCAGAAGACAGTTACTATAAAAAAAATAAAGATTATCTTTGAGGAACTCCACCACTAAAATTTAGCTGTAATTAGGATTCTGGTGTATTTTGTCTCAATATGTGTTTTTGTCACAAAGTAAATATATTTGTATACACTTCTCTACATATTGTAAACAAGGCGTTCTTTTATTAACCTCATAGGCATTTTCTTATGCCGCTGGAAACATTTTCTGGATTTTTGCCAACTATTCAGTCATATAAATATAATTTGACAATTTCTTGTTGATGGGAATTTCATTTTTGAAACATATTGGCTCCTTTAATCATGTAACTAAAGCTTTGAGTTCCTTCTCTTTATGTTTTGTTTGCCAAAAGGAACCCTGAGATCACAAACTATCCTAAGATATACTGAGTTGTTCCCTAAAAATTCATATATTGATAGTCTGATTGAGTACCTAAAATCTGTAAATTGAATTTATAGATATGCTACTTAGTGCGATATCCATCAGTGGAGTCACTAGGATGAGCCTTAATTCAATAGGGCTGCCATGAAGGAGAGATAAAAGCTAGGGAGATTGTTTGATGGCTAAAATGCCTGCCATACAAGGGTGAGAACAGACCTTAAGAGCTCTACAACCTATATAAATTTTTATTCTGCCTGACCTGCATTTCCAGCACTCAGAAACAGAGACTTAGTATCCCCAGAACAAACTGTGTTGCAGGACTAGTCATATTGGTGGACTCTAGGTTCAACTGACAGACTCTCATTCAGTGAATAAGAGCAGACAAGAAAATCTCCCAGGTCCACCACTGCACACGAATACACATGTATATCCATTGAAACATACAGATGCACCCATGCTTATACACACACACACACACACACACACACATACACACACACATACACACACACACACACACACACACACACGCAAACACACACCACACAAATGCATGAAAAGGAGAGGACATTACAAGAAAGCTACAGGGAGAAAAACTCATGAGGTCCTTTGAATGTGACTGTTCCTCATAGGCTCATGTATTTAAATAATTAGTTGCCAGTTCATAGAGGATTCGGAGGTATGACTGCTTTTGGAAGAGGTGTATCACTGTGGTGCGGGGGTTTGAGGTTTTGAAATCTCATGCCATTTTTCCCAGTTAGCTCTCTCTGCCTTGTGCTTGTGGATTAACATGTAAGCTCTCACCTACTCCTCCAGTACCTGCCTGCCTGTCTGATGCTGTGTTCCCTGCCGTGATGATCATGGAATTCAAGCCTATAACTGGGGGAATACAGATATCTTCAGAACCGGGTATGGGATGGGTGAAGGTTCAGGGGACAAGTCACTATGACTCTGCCTATGACTCGCTTGTCCTTATCTAAGTTGGTATTGTCTGCCAAGGCTACCTATTTACAAGGTCTACGACTACTCAGGCTTATAAATTTCCACAAAAGCTGCCTGTTTACAATAGCTTATATCCCTCTGTTTCAATGTTTTTCCACTGAGACCCAAGACTTGCTGTTAGTACACATGTATGACAGGCCTATTGCTGATTTTAGGCCTATGGCTGATTTTAGGCCTTCAGTGTGTAAGCAGGGCTGCCCCTGACATCTCCTCCCTTCTCTAAGTATAAAGGGCTGTGGCAATTCTAAACTTGCGAAGGCGGGGATAGAGGCCTGACCTCCAGTATTTGAAGGGGACCTTGTAGTGGCTCCAGTCCCCCTGTCATTGTTCAGTGAGGCATGAGGGCCATACCCGTCCCGATGTCTTTTTCCTGGAGAGGGGATACTTTTGACATCAACCCCTATGCAGTCAGGCTTGTCCCTCAGGGAACCCAGATAGATATTTTTATCTTTTATTTATATTCCCTTGCAGTGCTTAGCCTCGCAGCCTAAGCAAGCATTCAGATCGCCTGTCAGAGGGGGTTCTGGGTGGCCCCTCTCTGTCAAGCCTATAACTGTAAGCTCCAAATTAACTCTTTCTTCTCTTAGTTGCCTTGGTCACAATGTCTTATCACAGCAAGAGAAAAGTAACCAAGACACTATGTGAAGATATAGGCAGGAGACAAGAAAGATATGCTTAGAAGTCAACCTCAGGGACATTATCAATATCCAGTCACTCGAATCATGAATACTTTTGCTGTTAAAATCAAGTCCAGGATATTCTATCATTGCAGCTCCAGAAAACTAACACATGTCTCAAGTGACCAGGGAAGGACAAAAATCTGATACAATATCTATATCTTTTGAATTCAGATTTTATATCTCATACTCATTCCCTGATATTATACCAATACATGTACACACACACACACACACACCACACGGGGAGGGGAGACAGAGGGACAGAGATAGAGAAACAAAGAGATAGATACACACACACACACACACACACACACATATGCATAGAGATAGAAAGACAGAGACAGAAAGAGACACAGAGAGATAAATACAGAGACAGAGAGACAGAGTTTCTCAGAAAATCTTTTTTGGACAAGAATTATTTTATTGATGGTCTCATCAATCCCCTTTGCTTTTACCTCTTCCAACCTGGCTTCCAAATTCTTCTGTTTCTTATCTTTCTTCTGTATTTTTTCCATGGGAAAGGTCTTCTTACCACGAAAGTGTGTTTCAGACTACCCATTGATCTATTTCTTTTTTTTTTTTTTCTGTTGTACAAAAGGTTTATTCATTAGGTTGGCACAGTATCTGGCCAAAGAGTGAGGAGATTAACGTGACTTAGATTGGCTGTGATTCTTTCCATCACACAGATGATGTGTTCATAGCAATGGGGTGGGAAGGAAATCAAGAAAAGGTTTTTTTATGTTTGTTTTTTCAACCAGGGATCAGTTCTCAGTGTTAGGGAGAAGGGAGCTGTAGTCCTCTTTAGGCTGCTGTTGTAAGCCTAGAGTCAGTGACCTGACTGACACTGCTGTCTTGTGTTTGGCTATGGAAAGTCTGGGAGACACTGTGTAAGCACAGGCTGCTCTGGTCTGGAATGGGCAATGTCCTGCCAGGCTCTGCTACATTAGTTGGTTGATTGATTGACTGACTGATTGATTGATTGACACTGTATTGAGATATGTTAAAAGCTGGAATAATTTAGGCCATACAGTAGTAGCCTTGTTCTCTTTGGTCACACGCCCTTTAGACCAGTGCTTCTCTAATATTAGGATGTAGTACAATCCATAAAGGACTTGTAAAAAGTGCAGGAATCTGGGCCAGACAGTAGAAGACCGATTTAGGCAGGGAAAGGACAGGACTCTATGTAAATGGAACCTTAAATCTGCATCCAGGTAGCCTCTAGGTCATGGTTTAAAACACAACTTAAAATTGCAGTAGATATTTCTTTATCCATTTGGTGCTTAACATAATTCCCACAAGATGTTTCATCTATTTAAACAGTAATAAGGGGGCTGGAGAGATGGCTCAGCGGTTAAGAGCACTGACTGCTCTTCCAGAGGTCGTGAGTTCAAATCCCAGCAACCACATGGTGGCTCACAACCATCCGTAATGAGATTGGATGCCCTCTTCTGGTGTGTCCGAAGACAGCGACAGTGTACTCATAAATAAAATAAATAAATAAATCTTTAAACAGTAATAATAATAAACAATAATAGCAATCTTAGAAAATAAAAAAAAAGAAGTTTGACTTAAACATGTACATATATAAAATGTATTCTATATATGGCCATACATACATTTAAGAATGTATGTATATATATATTTATAAGAAACAGAAGCCAGGCATGATGTACTATACCTAAATTAATACCACTGAGGAAGCTGAGGCAGAAGGATTGCCATAAGTTCAAGGCCAGCCTGAGATACAGAATAAGACCTTCTCAAAACAAACAAATGCACACCCTCACATGTGCACGCAGAGTGGGGAAGAGGGAGAGGGAGAGAGAGGAGAGTGTCTATGCATAATATCTCCTAGTCAGGAACACTAAATGGCAGGGTGCTGATGACCTCGCCAGACTCAGTGACGATGGCATCATAGACCCAGCGGCGGTTGCACCGGCACTCTGGCCCACACTTGTTGGAGTTGCACTTGGGGCACGGGTAGAAGCACCCCAGGCAGTTCTTCTCCAGGCAGTCGCACAGGTCCACATCGTTACAGATCAGCCTGCCACTTTTGTCATACTTCTTCATCACCTTGTACTTCACAGAAAAATATTCATTCATCTTCGACATCCGCGCTTTCTTTTTCTGCTGCCTTGTCTCAGGGTTAAAATCTGCCACCTGCGGTCCAGGGTTTTGAAATGCCAAGCACTTTAGCTGCCGTTCTATCTGTTGCTGCGAGTCACCAGCCAGCCTTTCAAACCTCACAGAACAAACTCCAGAACTAGCTTTTCTTGGGTATAAGGTCAGAGTAGTAATGGGACTCCCCAACCATCACTGAAGAATCCGATCTATTTCTTGATAACATGATTTGTAAGTATCTTTCCTGCTGCTTCCTCCATTCAAGGCACAACCTGGTAAAAACCATGTCACTGCGGGCTCTCAGGTCATGACTAGGACGTACACAGCAACATCTCCACAGGATGGTGTAATCTATACTATGGATCAACAACAGAACATGCCAGAAGAAAGGCAAGGGATACAACCATTTGCCCAATTGTAACTATCACAATGTTTAGCTAATTTCCTTTGGGACATTATTTTCTCTTCATGACAACATTCTGGCTTCCGCTTTAGATTCTAAGATAGTTTTTAAAAAAGAAAAGAAAAAAGAAAAAGAAAAAAGTACATAACACTTTCTGTTAGGCACAACTCTTGTCTTTATTTCGACAGATGCTAAACAATTGCAAGCATGCTTAGAATTTCAAGAGTATGCTTCCCTCAAAGCCCTTAAAGCACATGTTCACATTAATTTCAATGAGGAGAAGAAACAAAGTAAGGAAAATTGAAAAACCCTGGTTTTAACAAGCTGCTACATAGAAGTGGGACAGAGCTGGAGAGATGACCCAGACCTTAAGAGTAGTTGCCACTCTCACAGATGACCCAAGTTTGAGTCTCAGCATCCACATGACAGCTCACAACCATTCATGATTCCAGGTCCAGAGCATCCAACTCCCTCTTCTGATCTCTGCAGGCATCCGGCATGTACATGGTGCACATACACATGTGTACGCAGAGTACTTACAGATGTAAAATAAAATAAATCTAAGAAAAAGAAGAAATGGGACAGGTGAAGTCATCATTTGGTGATGACAGGGACTGAACTCTCCTCGTGCAGGTGAGTAAGCACACAGGTTTTTCTAGGGGATTGTATGCCATTGGCAGATGTGTTGGCACCTGGAGATCATCTATATCCATGTGTCTATGTTCAAGACTTGAAGATTTAAAATATATGACAATGAGGACTGCTACACATAGATTTTGCTTTTGGTAAAAGCTATTACTTCTCTATCTCTTAAAATCGACCTTGTTTTTTTTTTAATGTCTTTGGAAATCTGATAGTACTTCACATTTCCCCAGTGCATCTGCCTAAAGAAACACTTAAGTGGCCTACCCCACATGAGCTCTCACAGAGTTCTAATGTGATTGAGTTTGTTGCATGTTCTACAGGTCATGAGAGGGCATCATCCGCTAACCAGGGGAAGCTGCACGGGCCCACGAAACTAGAAATTAATGAGTAAGGGCATAACTCAATTATTTTTGGGATCTCATCATTTGGTTTTCTCCTCTGACTCCTTGAATGGATTAGATAAGCTAAAGCTCAGGTGACAGATCTGCATGATAGGCAGAGGCTGGCTCTGCACAAGGATTTGTTACAGATGTCAGACACCTTTCATCTTTTCAGTCGCACAATGTCTTTTGGAGGTGAGTCGGTGACGATTCACTGGTGTGCTTTCCAGATCTGTGATTACAGAACTCTTTAAACCCTTTAATCTGAAATTTGGGTTAAAAAGCACCAACTAAATTTGGAGATTGACAATATTCCTTCTTTTAAGTAGCAGACGGAATGAAATCCTTGTTCAGCTTTTCTTAGACCCCATCTGGATGCTTGGAAAAAGAAATAAGAATTTGAAACGTGCATAGGCATATAAAATATAAAATAACGAGTAAGCTTCTTTGGTTCAATCCAGTCAAAGATTTGTACTCCAGGGGTGTGAAAGATGCGACCTGGAAAATATTTAATTTTTAATTTTTCAGATAAAGCCATATGTTAGAAAACAACAGTTATATGAAGGCAGAAAATTGAAAATTGAAAATTGAAATTGTGCTGTACATTAACATCTGAACAATTGCAGATTTCTTCTTTGGAGAAGAATTTGCTCTTTTTTTTTCTTTTCCTTTTCTTTCTTTCTTTTTTTTTTTTTTACTTGTTCACTCAACATGTATTGGTTGTGGTTGAGATTGCTTGGTGAGTTAATTATATTTTACTTTATTTTATTGGTGCCCTCTTTCACCATAAAATTCTGGTTAGTTACACTGGGGCCAACAGGATGATCCAGGATAAGCATCCCACTGCCCCTCATCCAGTTAATTCTGATAACTCCCCTTCTCCACATGACAACAAACTCAGAACTTCTGGGGACATTCTGGTCTGAATTTGGAATATCTGTAACAGACTCATGTTTTTGAATGATTGGTCCCAAGCTGGTGGCAGTTTGGTATGTTTGGAAGGCGAGACCTGGTTGGAAGGACTAGGTCACTGGGGTGTGTCCCTAAGTGACAGACCCTGCCCAGCTCTCATCTTTGCCCTGGTGGCTTCCTGTCTGCTATAAAGCAGTGCCTCCAAGTTGTTGCTCATGACACCATGATGCTGTGCCCCAGCACGAGCCCAGAAACACTGGAATCTGCCAGGATAATTAAACTCTGAAACCATGAGCCAAATTAAATTGTTTCCCTCCTAAATCGTGTCTGTCAGGTACACAGTTACAGAGATGACAGACCTAAATGAAATAAAGGATCAGGACCAGGATTTTACTCCAGCCTATCCCAATCTACTTTTACCATAGCAATCTCACAACGAGCCATTAAAAGCACAGATTGGATAACATCACAACAGGACTCTCCCACCACTGTCTACTAAATCCTCATAGAAGAACTAGACCTGCTGAGTCTGTTTTTGTTGTCAGTTTATATATAGCTTCAGGGACGAGCACTTTGCATTAGACAACCAACAAGCAGGCATATCCCTGGGAGAAGCTAATTCTCCTTCTTCCTGCTGTCATCAATTGTCCGTACTTCCTTGTCTAAAGATGGGATCCCTTGAAATTCTCCCCTTTTAGTGTTAACATGTCCATTGAAATTGCCATTGTCTTGGTCTTGTTTAGTGGCCGTTTATAAGACAGACTGTTTTAGTGCAGACTCTTCTTACAATCTTTACACCCGGTCTCAGTGGTTGTTGTTCACTGAGCCATTAATGCAGGAGCTATGATGTAGATGTATTCTCTGTTACTAAGCCCCTACCAGCATCCATATCTGCCTTGTATCAAGTTGTGGGTTTCTGTGATACTCCCCATTTTTCTGTAAAGAGACATGTCTTCGATGAAGGGTCGTTGCTATATTTGTCCGTCTGTATAAGCATAAGGTTTAGAATGTACTAATGAATTCTGCTGGTGTAGCAAAGGGAATTCTTTGCTAAGGTCCATGACCTCATTAGCTCCAGAAGTTAGATGGGTTTTCAGTATCAAGCATGATTTTCCTCTTATAGAATGGGCCTTAATTAGATATCTGTTGGCTGACACAGACATGTAAGTGCCACTTTTGCACCTTTAGACATATCTTCATACACTTCACAGTTGTTCATTCAGATTCATGGGTGATTAATAGATGTTGTTGTTGGGTAGGAGTATTTCATTACTTCCCTCCCTTGGCAACTGGCATAGTATTTTCTGGAACCATGGAAGCTAGACCTCAGAAAAGAGGCTTTCATGTCAGATCCTGATTGGATCATCCTGTCTTAAGTATATGGTGTCTTTAGCAATAGGAGCCCACGCTCAACCCCGGAGACGCACACGAGGGCTACCTTAATAACCCATATTGTTTTGGGAATCACTTGAAGTACACATCATTCAAAGGAGAATTTTTGTGCCTTGCTCTTTTTTTGTTTGTTTGTTTGTTTTGGTTTTTTTAAGCCTGGTTCTTGTAGGGAGTATTGTCAGATCATATGGTTTAACTTCCTTGAGGTAATTCAAACCCAGGAACACAAACACTACATCTTCTCTTTGGTTTGAAGTTTGTAGCTCCCAATCCTCATGCATGAGTACCCAAGATGATGTAACCACAGAAAGTAGAAAAAGTATAAGGGGATGATGGGTGGGGTGGAGTGGGAAGTAAATAGCAGTGTATAAGAGATATGAAGCAGAAAATAGAATGAGAAGGAGTGGCTTCCAACTGGAAAGGAGGGATGATGGGTCAATACAGAAGGAAAAGGGGAATAAGGGACGAAATACCAAGGTTGCTCATTAAAGCTTCAAGAAATCATATATATATATATATATCACTACTCTTTCCCTTATATGATTTAGCTTTTATGTTTATTTTTCTGTTAAGTTGTGAAATCTCAAAGATCAACAAATAACTCATAAACTTCAAATTTGTGCTTTGTGTCCTAATGCACCAAGGGAAGAGTAGTCTCCATCTTCTTATCGTTCTTATCTAAGGCTTCTTATCGTTGGTTAGCCCAAGCACTCAAGAGATAACTTGGTGAAGTGAGCATTGAAGAGATCTTATCTCATTTCCAAATGGGAAACCAACGGCTCACTGAGGTGAAGGTTGGGATCCCCTGGTCAGGGAATGACAGCTGTGTCAAAGTTGCATCGGCCTGATGGTCTAGCCTGTTCTCTCTGAACACGGATGGTTTTCTATTTGCGGACAGAACAGTTTCCTGTCAGGCTTATTGAGTTGAACTTGAGCATTGCTCAATGATTTTTTTGTTTCTGGCCTTTCAGTTTTTTCTTCCTGCTCTTAGGACTATGTCTTCTTACAGTCATGTTTGTGTCAGTGAGAAAAGAGAGGGAACCTCGGAGGATCCTGGGGAGCTCTCAAGTCTCTAGTAACAATCAATATGTTTATTCCCAAATAGTCCTCCAGAAGCTTAGCAGTGATAACGCGCAGCCATAAAAATCATTTCCTCTTCAATTCCCACATGGTGGGCAGCAGGAAAGGATGCCGGCAAGGTTGGTAAGAGGCCTGGCAGAAGCCCAAGACCACCCTGTCTGTACACCCACATCCTTGTCCCAGGCGCTCTTGCTGGTCACTTATCCTCAGGAAAGAGGTCAAGGCTCTCAGCAGCCCTGAACACCCACCACTTCCATTACCTGTTGGGAACCTCAC